GGAGAAAGAGAGAGATTTCCCCAGCCACTAGTTCACTCCACAGATGGCTACAACAGCCACTGAAACCAGGAGCTAGGAGCTACTTCTGAGTTTCTCACATGGGTGCAAGAGCCTGAGCACGTGAGGCATCCTCTGCTCCTTTCCTAGGTGCAATAGCAGGAAGCAGGAAGCAGAGCAGCTGGGACTGGAACCAATGCCCATTTGGGATAGTGATGCCACAGGATGTCACAGGTGGCAGCTTTACCCACTAGGGCACTGTGCTGGCTTCACCCTGGGTTTCTGTGACAATCTTTCAGGGCTTGCATTCCAGCCCTGCCTTGGGAGGAGCACACCAGAAATCTCCCAGAGGACTTCAGGTTCATCGCACCCTGGCTTAGTCATGACCAAAGTAGTCTCATCCCACTGCTTCACTTCCCATCCAGCTCCCTGCCTTGGAGACGGAGGACGGCCTAAAGCCTAGGGACCCTGCACCCATAGGGAAGATCTGGAAGAAGCTCCTGCTCCTGATCAACTCAGTGTTGGCTGTTATGACCATCTGGGGAGTGATCCAACGGATGGAAGATATTTCTGTTTCTCCTTCTGTCTGAAAATCTTCTCCTTGCATTTTCCATTGTGTAGTTAAAAGAAGCCAGGCAGGAACCTCTGATGCTCAGAGATTTCTTCTGTAAGATATACTAGTTAATTGTTCTTCTGTTCTGCCTTCCATAAACTCTTAGGATACAGACACACTTCAGCTGAGAAGTATGTCCTGTTTGTTGGATTACTCCCCACATGGCTGGAACAGCTGGAGCTGGGTCAGGTCAAAGCCAGGAGCCCCACATCCCATCCAGATTTCCCATATGGGTAGCAGGGATTCAAGTCCTTGAGCCATCGTCTGCTGCCCTCTATGGTGTGCATTAGCTGGGAGGTAGAATCAGAGTGGGAGGCAGGGGCTGGTGCTGTGGCATAATGGGGAAAACCATTGCCTGCAATGCCAACATTCCCATATGGATACTGATCTGTGTCCAGACTACTCCACTTCTGATGCAGCTCCCTGCTAATAGCACCTGGGAAAGCAGCAGATGACTGGCCCAAGTGCTTGGGAGCCTGTGCTCATGTAGGAGACCAAATGGAATTCTGCCTACTCTTGTGCACATTTGGGGAGTGATCAAGCAGGTAGAAGATCCCTTTTTCACTCTGTGTCTCCTCACTACCCGAACTCTCTGCCTTTCAAATAAATAAAGCTTTAAAAAAGGGGGGACACGATGGGAGCTGTAGTCTTTCTGAGGGTCTAGGCTACGGCCTTTATAAAGCTGGATATTCTTTGTGCCCTGTGGTGGCAGAAAAGGACAGATATTTGCTGGAATCAGCAAATGGGGGGAAAGAATCAACAATATTTGAGAACCAGTTGAGAGGGGCTGTGAAGCAAGAGGGGAGGTTTTGGAAGACCCAGTTATTTATGATGGGGTCTTGGGAGAGCAAGAAGAGATAAGTCTAGTGTTGGACATGTATAGATTGAAAAATTCAAAATCACCAAGGCAGAAAATTAGAAATACCAAAATGGGGTCTAGGAGAAAAATTAAAGGTGGAAAGAAAGAACCCGAATCCTCGGTGTATGAATGGCAGTTAAGTCTCTGAGAGTGAATGAATTGAACGTGTGAGGTTGTATGGCCAGGTCAAGGACAGCTCCTGGAGAACACCAGCATTGAAAGGGTGGGCAAGGGGCAAGGGCAGTGAGGAGACTAGAGGTCAGGAGAAAACCTGCAGGACCTGGACATGAGGCCATAGACAGGGCACAGCTCATGGCATCAAAGATCTCCAAGCATGTGGAGATAGGAAATAGACCCCCCACCCCTGTGCGTGGCAGGTAGGAGGTCACTGGTGCTCTCAGTAAGAGCAACTGCAGCAGAATAGCAATAAGGGACTGATGGAGGGGCAGAGGGCAGGGAGGAGGACAGAGGGCACTGCAAAGCAGGAAGTTTGACTGTTGGAAGTGAGGGGGTGGTGGGAGGGAGAGGATGCAGGTGTGTTTATAGTCAGTAGGAAGGAAAGGACAGGTGGAAGACACAGGACGAAGGGCAGGGGGAGGTCACAGGTTGGGAGTGAGTCCGGATGGCACAGGTGTATCTGATGGAGGTGAGTGTTGGATAAGATTCAGGGTGGCACAACTTCAAGTTCATCACACCTGCTGTGGTCTCTGAGAGGCTCACGATCTGGGGGAGAGGGGGTTGTCCCTAGCCAGGGCAGCCCTGCAGGCACTCCTGAGGGAAGGACTTTTCAAACTGATTTCAAAGCACAGGTGATTTATGCCAGAAATACTAAGGATGGAGATGTGCCAGCTACTAGTGAAGATGCATGAACGGGTCCAATGAATTGCACATTTGGAAAAATAAAGCCTTATTAAGAAAAAAAAAAGGAGTGGCAGACAGCTTTAGGTTTGCCCTGTGGAAGTGGGGGCAGTAAGATACAGTGATTTGCTCAGGATCACAGAACCAACCAGGACACCTGGGGCTTCTGTCCCTTCCGCCTGCCCAGACCCTGGAACCTTGAGTTGGACCCCCTCGTGAGTTCAGGGGCTGAGGCATCCTGCTGCTCCCCAGGGGGCATCTAACTGTGTCTCTCTTGATTTCGTGGGCACCTGCTGAGCTGTGGTACAGAATGGGGCTGTGCTCCCACTCCCTAGAGGCCTCATTTCTTCACCCCGTGTCCCCAGTTCTGCCCCTGGGTGAGCTCCCTGGCAGGAATTCACTAGCTCACTTCATGCAGGGATGCCTCAGTTTTTGGCAGAGCACCAAGGGGGCAGACTACTTTCCTGCCTGGGCTCAGCTTTGCCCAGCAGGCAGGAGGAGGCTGGTGCACTTAAGCAAGCATCAGCTGCGTCTGTGCTATCCAGGTTATACTCCTGTGACCCTTCTCACCTGTTTATATACCCAAAGGCTAGGTCCACTAGAAGGCTACACATCGCCCCAGTGGGCAGATAACCTAGTAAGACTGAGCTCCCGGAGTGCCTGGGGCCATTAAGCAGTCACCCTTGGTCTGCCTGACCAGCAGAGGAGTAGGTTCCAGTATCTTGGCACACACCCTGGGCCTGGCTGGTGTGGAGAGAACAGCAGTCATACTGTTTTGGAATAAAGATGTGCCAATGCAGAACTTTCCTTAGAAACCCTAGCTGTGCTGTGACTTGGGGCTGCTCACAGGTGCATGTCATAGTCTGCTCTTCCACCTGGTGCAGCCTGCAGTGGTTGTATTTCTCTGTGCTGTGCAGCAGGCTCTGGGAGTGGTAGCTGCCATCTGGCTGCGTATCGGCAAAGAGAGGGTGTTTTTGTGTTTGTTTCACTGGTTTCTGTTCATGCCTAAGCCCCTCTCCTAACTACTCAAATGAAAATCTTGGGGCCTAGGCACCTGTAGAAGAGGCTACTTGAAGAAAACTTGTGGAAATGGAATGCAAAGGTCAGAAGGAGGGTGGTGCGGGCATTTGGAACAGCAGTTAAAACATCTGCTAACCTGCTAAAGCAGACCCTGGCAGGCAGCAGGTGATGAATCAGGGGCCTGCCACCCAAGGGCTGGGGAGAAGTCCAGATCAATTTCTGGTCTCCTGGTTTCCGCCTGGCCCAACCCTGGCTGTTTCTGACTTTTGAGGACTAAATCAGGGGATGGAAATCTCTTTCATTCTGTTTACCTGTCTGACTTAAAGAAAGACCCCTTAGCTTTCTGCACTGGTGTGCAGCCAGTATTGATGTCACTGCTGGCCACCTTCCATCCCCTCTGGGATGTGGGCTGCTGCTAACTGACCCTCCTGAGGAAGTCTGACTGCTTTGCTGGTATTCCTACCCCTCAATCAAGTATCTTTCAGTGTTCAAGATCTCTAGGTGGAGCCTGGGGGATGCCCAGTGTGGGGAGGAGTGCAGAGCGTTGGTGCCACATCAGCACACTGTACCAGAACACCACCACATTATGGCTGATCAGAACAGGCCTCCTTGAGATGTTGCCCTCCCCTCTGAGAATTAGTTTTCCCTGCATCCTCTGGGGTGACCACAAGCCCAGGCACCTCAGTCCCTCCCCTGTTCAGTCATGACGTCACCTTGTGGACAGCTTGTGACATCTCCATCATGGATCCCTCCAGGCTGACCCAGGCTGGCCGGCCCTTGGCCAGGGCTGTGCAGTGTAGAGGAAGGCCCAGTGAAGGTCAAGGAAATGCAAGTCCTTGGTGTCCTGTGCCTCTTCCTGTGGCTGTGCATGCCACAGCTTTCCTCTGCCGGGATGCAGCCAGGTGGCCCCCGATGAGCTGCTGGCTCTGGGCACTGAGCAGCTGCCCACTTCTCCTTGCCCAATCCCAACCTTGCATGCCTTTACCCTCACTGGAGGATGTCCAAATCCTTTTGGCTTTCCAGACTCTCATGGCTCCCTGCACCCTCCATTCTAGCACCTCTCTTCACTGAGTTTGCCGTGCATCCTTGGTGGTGTGGTTCAGATGTCAGTGTCTAGAAGGCTGGGGGTGGGCCCTGGAGAATCAGCCACCATGTGGCACCCTTGGGCCTAACCTCTGATCTGAGCAGATAAGCTGAGCTGGAGTTCTGGGAGATTGATAACACAGACGGGTGTTGTGAGCTGGCCAAGGAAGGTTGCAGATAGTGGAGCCGTTGTACTTCACTGCAGCAACTAACTTGACTTGTATCACAAGTGGGAGGAGATGTCCATCTGTCAGGCCTCCTGGAGCTGGCCCTGCACCATCGCAATGCAGAAGAGGTCAGCAGTGGGGACCACGCTGAGGAGGAGGGAGTGGGCCAGTCTGGCAAGGACCTGGTCCCTGAGGGCTGGGACCTTTATTTGCCTCTCTCATGGGGGAGGGGGGGCAACTGGATGCCTGATGTTGCCCTTTGATGTGCAAGGGAAGAAAGGCACTTTCCAGGTGCCACTCCACGGAGTAGCTTTGTGGGAAGGGACTGGAGGGGGTGTGTCCTGGTCCTCTAAGAAGGACTGCTTGTAGAGCCAACCAGAGCCTTGTGACTCCTACCTCCTAGGTGGCCCGAGGCAGCCGGGATGACAGCTCTCCCCAGGAACCCCACCTGCTAAGAAACATGATCAGCAAGTCCCGTGAGTGCCACCAGGAGCACCAGCCCCGCACTGCACGCTGGGCCTGCAGAAGCCGTCCTCAGTGGCATCCAGGAGTGGTGGGGGCACAGATTGGGAGCCAGGGACTCATAAGGAATTTGGGGGAACCTGGAGACCCTCGGCCTGTTGTAGAACCAGGAGAGGACCGGGGACAGGAATTGCTTGAGCTGGGGGTGGGAGCGTCCAGGCTGGGGCAGGGGAGAAGCAGACTGTAGCTGTACCTGCCTCTTTCTGCCTCCAGCTCCTCTGTGCATGTGCCCTGCAGGCTGGAGGCTCCTGGCCATGCTGGCTCTGGTCCTGGTCGTCATGGTGTGGTATTCCATCTCGCGAGAAGACAGGTACATTGAGCTGTGAGTGCCCTTCCATTGGTTCCTGTCGGGGGTCAGGGCTCGGGGCAGGAGGGCTCCAAGAGCCTCTCCCTTCTGTGAGGATGGATGTGAGTGGGTGTAAGGGGTCTTGAATGATTCACCTTGTCTAGGGAGTGCAGGGATGAGAAGAGCTGGACCCTCCCTGATTGGGATTGGAAGTAGAACTTGAGTTGGAATGATGCCACCCTGCAAGTGCCCCTCCATTACCTTGGACCTGGGTGCCAGAGGGGCAGCGGGAGGCCCCCTGGGATGTTGGCCCCAGGGCTCTGTGCTCTAACTGGGGCTCCTGCCTCCTGTCCTTTTTTGTCTGCAGTTTCTACTTTCCAATCCCAGAGAAGGAGCCATGCCTGCAGGGTGAGGCAGAGCGGAAGGCCTCTAAGATCTTTGGCAAGTGAGTTCAGGGGACCGGAGGCGGTGGAGTGTCGGGCTGGCTAGGATGGAGAGGGTCACAGATTGTGGGCCTTTGCCTGGCTGGTAGGGGTGGGCAGGGTTGTTGCTGCTGCCAGTCATGGGCTCAGTGAAGCCAGTGAGGGCAAGAGGGGCCTTTTGGAATGAGTCAGAGGGCCTGACCCTGGTTCTGGCATTAGGATTAATTCCTATCTCACCCCACCTATGCAGTTCCTCCCGCGATCAGCCCATCTTCCTGCGGCTTAAGGATTACTTTTGGGTCAAGACACCATCTGCCTATGAGCTGCCCTATGGGACCAAGGGGAGTGGTAAGTCCCGCCAGCCTGGTAGGAGTGGTGGACCACCCTGGACACACTGCTTCCTGTTCCATGTTGTTAGGGGAGGAGCAGTGGGGGTGAGGGCGCAAGCTACAGGCTCAGGCTCTTGCTTCCACTCTTCCTGTAGAAGACCTCCTGCTCCGGGTCCTGGCCATCACCAGCTACTCCATACCTGAGAGCATCCAAAGGTGAGGAGGCTCCCCTCCTTCTCTGAAGGTCTGGCCTTTCCCCTTCCCTGCCCCTGTGTGAAATCTTCTTAGCCTGTCACTATCCCTAGGAGCCTTCCAGAGCCAGACGCTGCTCTCTTGGGGCCAATTTGATCTCCCTCCCAGCATGCCTTTCTTCAGGGGATACAGGTGTAGCAATCCCCACGGCAACCTGGCCTGGGCTTCCGGGTGCCTGAGCAGGCAAGGATTGCCATGGCAACAGGCAGGCAGCCGGCAAGGGGGCTGGACAGTGGGGTTTCTGATTGGTCTTCCTCTCCCTTCGGGCTCTTCTCCATCTTCTCTCCTTTTAAGGCTCAGGGCTACAAAGTCAACACAGCCACATGGCCACAGCACCTGGCCTGCTCCATGGGGGTGGGGCCTGGGGGGAGCCTAGGAAGCCATCCTGAGATGGGTCCAGGCAGGTGCAGGCAGCGAGGGTCCAATGACCGCCTCTCTCCCTGTGACAGTCTCAAGTGTCGCCGCTGCGTGGTGGTGGGGAACGGCAGCCGGTTGCGCAATAGCTCACTGGGAGACACCATCGACAAGTATGACGTGGTCATCAGGTGTGTGAGACTGGCATCTGCTGTCCCAGTTACAGCCCTTGCAGAGAGCCCCGGGGGCTCTAGTGATGGCATCTTCCTTTCTACCAGACTGAACAACGCCCCAGTGGCTGGCTATGAGGATGATGTCGGCTCCAAGACCACCATGCGTCTCTTCTACCCCGAATCTGCCCACTTTGACCCCAAAGTGCAGAACAACCCGGACACACTCCTGGTCCTTGTAGCTTTCAAGGCGATGGACTTCCATTGGATAGAAACCATCCTCAGCGATAAGAAGCGGGTAGGTGGGAAGGTGGGTGAGGTGACAAGGTCTGGGCGCAAGGACCCTGTGGAGTCAGGACCTCAGACCCCACAGTGTGTGCCTGCAGTTCTATAGGGCCAACAGGTGAGAGGAGGATATACATTTGGTTTCCATCAGTCAGCCCCACCTACAGGTTTCCCCCAAGGTCAGTGTCCTACAGAACTTCTGCTAAGCAGCCCAGCCACCAGACAGTCTATGTCCTCCCAGACAGTCCTCAGGAGTTCCCCTCTCTCATTTTGCCATGAGGTCGGAGACGGAACTGTCTGATCTGGCATGTTTTCCAAGTGTTTAGGCCACCTAAAACTCAAGCTCCTTATACCTGGTTGGGTATCCTTGGGATTGGGCAACCCCATCCTAAATGCCCTGTCACCCGGTTTCCCTGCAGGGCTGCCCCATCTCCAGCCCTCTGCTATAGGCTCCACTACCCTCACACCCTATACTCCCGGAGGCATCTACCACCCCTTGGGTTCTCCTTCCTGGCTGAGGGCCACAGAACTGGTGGACTGGAGAGGCAGGTCTTCACCCACTCTGATCTCCGTCCTCCTAGGTGCGGAAAGGTTTCTGGAAACAGCCCCCTCTCATCTGGGACGTCAACCCAAAACAAGTCCGAATTCTCAACCCCTTCTTCATGGAGATTACTGCAGACAAACTGTTGAGCCTGTCTGTGCAGCAGCCACGCAGGATCAAGCAGGTGACTGCTGTTGAAGCCTGGCCTGCGGGCAGGGGTCCTGGGGGTGGGAAGCCATGGAGGACTTCTCTCCTGAGTGGGGAGAATAAAGCAGGCCCAGTGGCTCATGGTTGGTTTCTGGGAGCACCCCTGTAATCTTGCTTAGGCTTATCTGTGGCGAGAACACGCTTGCCCTGGCGAGAAGCAGGGGCGTTCCTATCATGGGTGGTAAACAAGTTTCTGTGCTGAGCTCAGGGGCTGGAGTTACAGGATGAAGTTAGGAGGGGTTGGGCAGAATTTTGTAAACTGAAGAGTTGCTGAAACAACCCGAGCCTGTATAGGATTGTCAGACACTGGGAACACCTTTGTCTGATTGAATTAAAGAGTTTCCCCCTGAGCGGTTGGCATTGCATAGTTTGGTGCAGTGCATTGATCTGGGGAGTCAGGGTGCAGGTCTGGGAGTTATAGTTTTGACTTCAGCTCTCAATGCCCTGGTGGTCTTCCAGTGGTAGGCTTCATCCCACCTTATAATTTCTCAAGCTTCCTGTGTTGGGAAGCCCTCAGGTGCTAGTAGGGCATGCAAAGGAGGAAAGCCAGCAGACTTAGCCAGGACTGTGGGCTGTATTCCTCACTGCGTGGCACTGGCAGGATGTTCACTTGGATCTTGTTCCTGTGGCAGGGATAATTTCATACTGACCTTTTGAGGCCATTGCAAGACCTTAAAAAGGTAATTTTGTAATATGCATATCACAGAGATCAGTATGCAGTGTGTGCTCAATAAATATTTGTCAAATTTAGAATAGATGATTTTATTCTCTGCTCTGTCTATTGTTTTTCCACTTCCTATGTTGAATGCCCGCTTTTGTAGTTGTCCATATCTGCATGCTTGGTGAGTAAGACGTATGCTTTGAGTTTAGGAAACTCAGTCCAGCAGTATAAACATGCAGGTTGCCCTGCAGAGGATTAAAATGCCACAATAGAGGGTTCTTGCGAATGCTCTGAGTTGTCAGAGAAGGTGGCACAGTTCTGCTGATGGCTGTCTGGAAGGCTCCCTGGGGGAAGAGGACCAGAGGGTCCATGAGGCAGAGGACTGGGCCAATAGCATGCCCTTGCTGGGTCAAAGAGCTGTCCGTGCTGAGTTGTCCTGCTGAGACTAGAGTTGGGAACAACAAGCAGTTGTGTGCACTAGGGTGTTAATGAAAAAGCTGGGAAAGAAGGCAAGAGAAGTTAAGGACTTGCACCCACCCAGTCCTAGTATTGGGAAAGACTTCACATGCACCTGACATGTTGTAATAGCTTCCATTGCTGTCCCACCCAACTACTACAAGCTTAGAGGCAGAAAACAATACCCAAGGGCCTGAAGGTTCTTCACAGTATCATGAGGCTGATTACAAGAACTGAGTCTTCTTCTGAAAAGCAGCAGATGCAAGGGAAAGCTCAGGCTTTATACACACACACACATATATATTTATGTGTCTCCTCCTGGGAGTCTTCTACTGGGAGTCAGCCTGGGCTAGGTAGGGACCCTCAGTACTGGAAGCTGCCTGCCCTGCCTTGCCACACTAGCCCTCTTTGTCTTCAAGCCAAGGAGAGGGTAATGAATCCTTCTTGTACCTCAACTCTGTCTGGCTCGTCCCATCTCTGAACTTGACACCAGCCTTAAAGAATTCAGGTGACTGGGTCCAGCTTGTCATGAGTCTCTCCTCTGTTATCATGACATGATGCAATGTAATGGGCCTCATCCTTTTCATAGTTGCCACACTATGCAGGGAAGAGACCATACAAGGGCAACATGCCATTGGCAACCCTCTTAGAACTCTGCCTGCTGTCACCTGTATTGTAAAGGTGGAGCTGGGATGGATGACCAGTTCTAGGTTTTCAGACTGGACAGCTGGCTGGATAGTAACATGGCTAATGCTCACATACAGCACAGGGTGGAAGGGAAGTCTGATGTGGGTGAGGGGCTTGTGTTGGCGCAGAGTGGAGCAGAAGGTGATGTAGTTCATTGCAGTACAGATGGGATGAGAGGACCCAGGGTGGTTGGAAGCAGTCAGCATGGGAAGAAGGCCAGACAGGGAGTGGACACTGAGAAGACAGCTGAGCTCCAAAGAGACACTAGGAGAAGGCTGGCATCAAGAGGCCTGCGCTGCCCAGAAAGTGGTTTACAGGATGGAAGGTGAGATTGGTGAGATCAGAATGTGAGACTACCCATCCGTGTGGAGGATGAGGGCCAGGCTGTAAGGGGGCATAGGAAAGGCACCACTGTTTCTGCTTTGAAGGAGGAGCGACCCAGAGGGTGCTGGAGGATCCTGGTCGTCCAGCTGGAGGGGAGACGGGGAGAGGCCTCCCCTTCCAAGGGGGAGTTGTTTCACCTTGGTCAGCCTCAGTTTTCTCATCTGTAAAATGGGGCTAACAACAGTACCTCCATGCAGGTGCGTTTGTAAGGACTGAGTGATCATATAAGGTCAGGTATTTTATAGAAACCTTCTGAGCACAGTTAAGTTCTCCAGATGTTATTGTAACTATTGTCATCTCCGTCTAAATTGCCATTGCCCTCCTGCCTGGAGACCCAAACTGTACCCCAGACCCAGATGTGTATAGCTATATTATCCGGAATGGTAGCCACTGGCCACTAGCCCCATATGACCTCTTAAACTTAAAACTAGTTCCTTAAAGTGTAATGGAAGGAACAGTCCAGTTGCTTGGTGCAGCATTTCCAGGGCCACTGGACGCTCCCTGCTGGCAGAGCTCCAGCCCTGAAGATAAGGGAGGAGCAAGGCCGCCCTGACGCCTTTCTGCCTCCGTCCTTCAGAAGCCCACCACGGGTCTGCTGGCCATCACCATGGCCCTCCACCTCTGCGACCTGGTGCACATCGCTGGCTTTGGCTACCCGGAGGCCTACAACAAGAAGCAGACCATCCATTACTATGAGCAGATCACACTCAAGTCCATGGCAGTAAGTGGTCCCATCCATGCGATCTGGGTGGAGGGACACGGGGTGACAACAAAGTGTGTGCCAGTGGCCTTGAGGCACTCCCAGCTAGGCCACTGAGTCAGGACTGGACTCTATATTAGGTCACTTGGGTTCTTTCTTCCCCAGAGCCATCACAGGGAAGGGAAGGGCCAAGGGGAAGGGCAGAGGGGCCAGTCCCCTCCTCTCTCAACCCCAGCATCCCTCAGTTTGCCTCCTTGGCTGTCTCCACAGGGATCAGGCCACAATGTGTCCCGAGAAGCTGTGGCTATCAAACGAATGCTGGAAATTGGCGCTGTCAAGAACCTCACGTACTTCTGACCTGGACAAGGACTGTGACCTGTCAGTGTGGCCCACTCTGCTCCTAGGGGGGACTCCCCCTGTCCATGCCTGTGGGGTGCCCAGTTGCCAGCAGGACCACTTGGACTCAGCTTCTCTGTATGGGGGAGGGAGTCCCGAGCCTGGCCGGCCCTGCTGTGAGGCCACACTTCTGACTGTTGCTATGGAGCTCACACCCAGCTGGTGTGGTAGCCCTGTGGCCTTCGGAGGCTGGCCAAGGCAGGGGGCTTGCTGCTGTGGCAGCCTTTCTCTGCCAGTACCATGAGATTATTTAATGGGCTATTTAAGTATGGGGTAGGAGAGTGCCGGGGGCTGGTCCCACGGCATCAGCAGAGGGGCACAGCATGGTGCTCCACCCACTTTTTATAAAAACTTCAGCAATGAGCCCACTGAAGCCTGCCCAGATCCAGCCTCCCTTGAGAGTGGGGGCGTCCAGGGTGGGCTGGTTTCCCCCACAGCGGCTGCTACCTCCCAGCAGGCTTGGGAAAAGCGCTGGTGTGGGGGTTCTGTCCAAAAGGGACCTCGCCAAGAAAAGAGGTTTCAAACCTGTCATTAAACTATTTTTCCTAAAACTATTTTTCCTATTTTTCCCTGTATCCTTTTCAGTTGTGGATGAGGCGATCTCTGATTGGGGTGTGGCCCTGGCGGGCTTGTGGGAGCCAGGCAAGGCCACTCAGGAAGACTTCCTATCAGGCGTGATGCCTAGTGTCCAGCCACCCTTGACCTCCCTAACACAGCACGCATGCAGTATCAAGCACACCCTGTCTGCAGGACCCAGTCTGGCGTCCTGCCTCCTGGTTTCCTTCCCAGAGGGAGGCTGGGAGCTGGAGGATGCTCACTGGGTGTGGCAGAATCCCCTCCCGCTTTCCTTCCTGGTTTCCCAAGCTTTGGTTATCACAGTCTCAGGCTGGGAGGTGTGTGTTTCAAGGACAGGGGTGGGGACAGACAAGGAAAGCCAAATTTCCCTTCTCAGACCAAGCGGGAATCAGAATGGAGTTCACGGAAGGTCCTGCTGGCGGCCCAAGCTGCCAGCACTGGGGTGGGTAGGGCTGGAGGGAGGTGATGAACAAGATTCGGCAGGGTTCATCAGCTAGTGGCCAGGCTGCGGGATGGAGCAGGTTCCCTCCCAGGTTCTCGAGAATCGGAACAGCCCTGTCTTTTGTCTGCCCCTCCCGCCTCTGTCTTCCCAGGCCCTGCTTAGCTGCCAACTGGGCCTCCTGCCACCCCCACAGCTGTTCCTTTACATCTGGGGCCAGGAGGGAGAGCTGGAAGTCCCCTATGGAGATTGGAACTCACAGCTGTGTTCCTGGCTTTCTCGGAAAGAGTCACAGCCTTGAGGTTTTGAGACAAGCCAGGCTGGGACAGGGTGGATAGAGAAGGCGACAGTGATTTGGGAGGGACAGCGCAGGGGGACAGACTGGTTTAAACACATGCACTCCGTCCTGTAGGGTGCTGAGGATGCTTACAGAGAAGGCTGCCTGTGCTTGGCTGGCTGCTGAACCCTGGGAAGGCAGCTAGGGCCTGGCCTCGGCAGCCCCGGGACACCTCCACTCGGCGTGGGCAGGCTTTGTGTCAACAGAGGTGGGAGTGCGTGTTGGGAGTTGGGCTCAACTCTGCTTGTTCTTAGCAGGGCATGCGAGGGAGTGTGTCCATCTCCTCTTGCAGGGCTTTTCAAAGTGGCTGTCTGCATACACGATCCAGCTGTCTTGGATCAAGGCCATTGTCTGTTAAATAAACGTGCCTAAAGTTGAGTTAGAATCCAACACAAAGGCATGGGCTGGCCCCCCCAACTCCAAACACACACACACACACACGTGCACGCGCACACACACACACCTGAGCATCTCACATCTTTCTGTGGTGCTGTGTGATTCTACAGGCAGACTGCCACCCAGGATCAAGCGCACAATGTGTGTGTGTGTGTGAGTGTGGCCAGCAGTGCGGGCAGCTTGGTTCTCTCCTGTGTGTCCCAGTCTGAGGCCATACTGGTGCACAGTCAGAGCTGGGAGTGGAGCTATGGTGTGGAATTGTTGGATGGGGTTCTTTGGTGTTCTGGGAAAAGAGACAGTTTTCAGTGTGCGCCCAACCAACATGCAGGAGCTGCCTGCCAGCCTGCCTGGTACTGATTAAGCCCTGCCCTGAGAAGGAGACAGGATGGGCAGAAGCCCGCAGTGCAAGCAAGCCCAATTATACACTAGGCATGGACACTGAATTCTGTACCTTCCTGGGCCAACGATTCTCTGACAGCCTCCCTTCCTGCATTTCCTGATACCAGATGGTGGCTCCAGCCAAGGTGGACCACTTATCTGAGAATTGAGAATGATTGGGGGGTGGGAAGCGCGGGGGGGGGGCGGTGATTTCATAATGCAGACTCCTGGCTCCAACTCCAGCCCCGGGACATTTTGGAATTTTAACAAGCACCCAGAACTGGCTGCTCTTGCCGTCTAGACGCTAGGATGAGTTCAGGAGGCCCCCCTGCACGCCGCGCGTCAAGGCCGTCATCTGCGCGTGCCCTTGCGCCTTGCTGGTGAGGCGCGCGCGGCTTCCTGGATGAGCTGAGAACCCCGCGCGCTCGGCGCGGCTCAGGCGGACGCACTCGGCAACATGCGCCACGCCGGCTGGAGTCGCTGGCTGCAAGGAAGCAGCCAGGGACGCACTCCCACTGGGGCGTCTGGGGACAGCAGCGGCAGCGCCTCCCTTGGCAACCGGCTCGGAGCTTAGCGACGGCTGCCGAGGGAGGCCGGGCGCCGGGGTCTTGCAGGCGCTGTGTGCAGCCTTCTCCGACTGGCGGGAGTGTCCTTGGAGCGGGTGGGGTGCAGGAGGCAGCTGCTCCTTCTTACTTGCTTGGGGAAAACTGAGACCTGGAAACGTGAGGGTACCCGCCCCGTCTGGGACCACCTGCTGGCCAAAGCCAGAACTGAGGTCTTTTCTCTAGTCCAGCAACGCGTTTAAATGCCATCCTGTATGCCTGTCACATGGTATGCCTTAATTTGGGACACTGTAGGCTTTTATTTACACTTACAGGGGATATAAGTACATTCAGTTGCTTTCCCCGCCGGAGACTGTGCAGAACTTGGAGCTTACAAGCCGTTCTGTCTGGGAGGCAGCAAGGTGTGGGGCACACAAAATGTGGACCACTGGGTCATATTAGTTCTACTAATTGGGCTAACCATCTCTGTTACTCTATCTGGAAAAGGTGGCGATACATGCCTATCTCACTTTGAGGATTTAAGGGTCCGATAGGAATATGATTGGGCAGACATTTTGTAGATTGTACAATAGGATACCCTGGGATAAAAGTTGCCAGTGTGGGGTGGGAAGCTACGGAAGAGCCAACCACACAAGATATAACAGGTACGGAGTCACGGGGCAGGCCACAGGGAAAGTCTTTGCTTTCAGATCACCCATAGAACTACACAGGGGAAGGTAAAACAGCAAAATGACTCCAACTCAACATTGCCTAATCAAGTAAGGGACGGTGAGTTCAAGCTGCTGCTGTCCCACAGTTGTTTTTAAGCTGAAATCAGACATTTTAAGGGATTCTCGGAGAAGAAGGTCTCTTGGGCGACATTATCCATTTCAGTGGCATGTAGCGTACTGTTGTAACTTCCTAAACAAAGGTTGAGAGAGAAACCCTCTGATCTTACTGAAGTCTTAATCACTGCCCAAGCAAAGGGTTAGTCTTGAGCATGCCAGCACTACATTCGCACATCCAGGACTTCAGAACTTGCAACTTCAAAACTGAAGGAGGGATATGCAGGTGGTTTCCCCATTATGAAGATTTGATTGGGAGTTTTTAACTTGATGATGACACAGAAGCAGTGTGCATTCAGCTAAAACTAGATTTTGAATTTTGGATGCTCATCTTTCCCAGGCTGGCGATATAGGATGTGTTGCTGTCTGATGCTGGTGGGGCCATGAGCTGCAGTTCTCATCAGCCACAGTGTCTTAAGACCAATAACCCACACTCCACAGCAACTGGAGTGTGCGAGTCAATCTCAAGATTCTACCTCCTAGGGCTCAGCCTGATGGCCTAGAGGCTAAAGTCCTCGCCTTGAATGCACCAGGATCCCATATGGGCACCGGTTCTAATCCCAGCAGCTCCACTTCCCATCCAGCTCCCTGTTTAAGGTCTGGGAAAGTAGTCGAGGATGGCCCAAAGACTTGGGTCCCTGCACCTGTGTGGGAGATCCAGAGGAAGCTCTGGGATCCTGGCCATTGGTGCAGCACTGGCCATTGCGGTTGTTTGGGGAATGACTCATTGGACAGAAGATCTTCCTCTCTGCCTCTTCTTCTCTCTGTGTATCTGACTTTCCAATAAAAATCAATAAATCTTAAAAAAAAAAAAAAAGACTACTCCAGGGCCTGCAGAATGGGAACAGCAGGTGGGAGAGATGACAGTTTGCTCATGTGGAAGGGTGTGACAAAAATCTTCCGGGCAAAAGTGGACCTGAGGGGAGGGGAGACTTGCCACCCACCAGGGTGCAGTAAGCTAAGGCCCCATCTGCATTCCATATGGGTGCTGGTGTGAGTCCTGGCTGCTCCACTTCTGATCTAGCTCTCTGCTGTTGTCCGTGGGAAAACAGCAACAGATGGCCCAAGTACTTGGGCTCCCGCACCCATGTGGGAGTCCCAGAAGAAACTCTCTGCTTGTGGTTTTGTATTGGCCCAGTTCCAGCTGATGTGACTATTTGGGGAGTGAATCAGAGGATGGGAGATCGATCTCTCTCTTTGTATCCTTCTCTGTCTATGAATCTGCGTTTCGGAAGTGAGACCTGTTTCTTGCCCTACTTCAGGTTCCTAGGGAAGACACAATTTGGAGCACAGCAGCCTCTCAGAGGCTTCGTTCCTCTACAGAAGCTTTGCAAGACTTGAGAGGGTGGAGTCGGGTGGAAAGAATGAGGGAAGGCTCAGATGTTGAAACACACCCTAGGGGATTGGAGTTGGAATTACTGAACTAAACTATTCCAGAACCCTCTATTATTCTGAGCCATCTCAAAATACTGTTTACACTTGTCTCTAGCTTTAACACTTGCCTAACATCTTCACTCACTAAAAATGTGTCTCTCTTCTTAAGGAGGAAAAAAAAAATCTCAGAGTTGGAGAGTCCCTCTGGTTGTGGGCTCTTTCCTCTGGGATTAGTGTGGCATGGGTCTA